CGTCAGGCTCTGGGCTGATGGCTCAGAGCCTGGAGCCTGTTTCCGATTCTGTGTGTCTCCCTCTCTCTCTGCCCCTCCCCCGTTCATGCTCTGTCTCTCTCTGTCCCAAAAATAAATAAACGTTGAAAAAAAAATTTTTTTTTTTAATTTATTTTATAACATACATGATGTATTAGTGCAGACATATATGTAGGTAAATACCATATTTGGGGATGTGGGCTTAAAAAAAATTTTTTTTTAATGCTTATTTATTTTTGAGAGAGACAGAGACAGAATGCGAGTGGGTTGGGACAGAGAGAGAGGGAGACACAGAATCCGAAACAGGCTCCAGGCTCTGAGCTGTCAGCACAGAGCCCGACGTGGGGCTCGAACTCACGGACCGAGAGATAGTGACCTGGCTGAAGTCGGACGCTTAACCGACTGCGCCACCCAGGTGCCCCAAAAATATTTGTTTACTAGAGATGCATGATCAAAAAATTTGGTAGACCAGGATATAGCCAAAGTCAAGTTGTAATATGTTATATTTGTTTGGCTTTCCTTGACAATATTAAAAAAAAAAAAAACAAGAAAACTCAAGATTGTGTCACAAGCCTGAATGTACTTAAGAACAACAGTGGGTGAGAAAAGTTGAAATTATACCTACAGGTTATAAAAATTGGGTGTATTAGTTGGAGTAAGCCTCTGGATCTCTGTAGGGTACAACGAGTTCATTTTCCTTCTCTGGAAAGAGTGCAGTATTTCCATTACTGATCCTTTTGTAGGCTTCATATAGAGGATCCCTTGGGGAGCTGGAAATTCTCTGTCATTTCCAAGTACTAAAGTTCTTAAGGGACCTCTTAACTCTTCCAAATCACTTCAGGAGACTTTAATACATGGACCCTAGAGGTTGTGAGGCCTTTTAGGACCTCACAATTGTTTCTTCCTGTGTGTCTCATTAACCATCAATTACAATTGTTTCACATAATTGAAAGGATAGAATCCTCGGAGGAGATGTATAGTGTGTGGTGTTTGCCACCAAGTAGGGAATGTCAAATGAGCCCACACCATCTTGGGGACAACTTTCATGTTCCCCTTGTTAATTTGGTTGTATATTCCTGATAACACTGAATTTAATCACTATTACATGAAGAATTTTAAATATAATGTTAACTAACATCTCATAAATACATTCCATAATATGGAGAGAAGTATATGAATAATTTTGGGAAATTAAAGTCAGTAGTTTGGAAATTTGAGGAATGCTCCATCATGGCAGGTATCGATGACTGCAACTGGCCATCCTAGAGTTGTGCTTTGGCTCCATTTGGACTTTTTCAAAATAGCTATTAGAACATTTGGAGGAGGAATACACATATATACAGGTGAGCATGCAAATACATATGCATATATACACAAACAGTTATGCTTGTATATGCGTAGACTAACTCTGGAGAAATACAAAAATTATTAAGAGTCGTTGCTTCAGGAGTCAGATGGGAAACTGTTCTGCACTTGTTTTAATATTTTTATTCCTTTATTTTTATTTTGTGCTGAAAGACATATAATGTAAAATTTATCAATAGTGACATTTAGGGCATTCATAGTGTTCCACAGCCATTACCACTATCTAGTTCTAGAACATTTTCATCATCTCAAAAGGAAACCGTGTACACATTAAGCAATCACTCCCCATTTTCCCTCTCCCCAGGCTCTGGCAGCCGTCAGTCTGCTCTGTGGATTTGCCTATTCTAAATATTTCACATAAATGGAATCATACAATATGCGGCCTTTTGTATTTCGTTTCTTTCACTTAACATGATGTTTTCAAAATTCATCCACATTGTAGCATGTATCAGTACATCATTCTTTATATGGCTGAATAATACTCCATGGTATGGATGTACCACATTTTATTTGTCTGTTGTTGTCAGCCGTTGGACCTTTGGGCTGCATATTTTTGCTGTTGTGAATAGGGCTGCAATGAAAGTTTATGTACAAGTTTTTGTTTGAATAACTGTTTTCACTTGTTTTAGGTATAACCCAGAAGTAGAACTGCTGGCTCGTGGCAATTCTGTGTTTAAATTATTAGTGAATTCATAGTATGCTTTCAAAGATCTTTATTAACAGCACATGTAGATCTAAATAGCTCTATTTCTTTGAATAGCTTCATAATATTTTGTCAGATGGGTATCTATCTCCTGTTGGGAGATATTTAGTTTGTTTTTGTGGGGTTTTTTTTGTGCTTACAAATAATAGTGAAGAGAACATTGTAATGCAAAAATTTTAGTGTACTTCTCTAACTAGCAGGATAAAGTAGAATTACTGGGTCAAAAGATACGTGTTTTTAAAATTTATATTGCTAAAATTGTTCCCCAAAAAGTTGTACCAGTTAATACTCTGGTCAACAGTATATAAGTACTCCTTTTTCCTTTCTCTTGATTACTTTTATCCTATATTAAATATAGCTAATTGGATCATTGTCCTATATTTTGATCATGGTCATTATGTTTATTATATTATCATGTTTACTATTATGTTTATCTGTTATCTCTTAATAATAATAGTTGCCATTTTTTAAGGAATCAGTAATATATGCTAGATACTTTACATATATTCACACACTGTTACTTTTCTTATTCATTTATTAAAAAATTTTTTTTAATGTTTATTTTTATTTTTGAGACAGAGGAAGACAGAGCATGAGTGGGGGAGGGGCAGAGAAAGAGGGAGACACAGAATCTGAAACAGGCTCGAGGCTCTGAGCTGTCAGCCCAGAGCCCGATGTGAGGCTCGAACCCACGAACCGTGAGATCATGACCTGAGTCAAAGTCGGACGCTTAACTGACTGAGCCACCCAGGTGCCCCATTCTTACTTTATTTTATAAATGACTCAGAGAGATTGTGGCTTAGGACATGCAGTTAGTAAGAGGCTAAATTTAGGATTTCAATTGTAAGTTTGTTACCAGTTTCACATGATTCACTCCAGAAATAGTCTGTGTTTATACAAGCATAAATGTTTGTGTGTGTGGATATATGCATGCTTATGCATGGAGAAAAAAGTGTTCAGTAGTTGTAAATTTAAAAATAATGTGTTGTTGGGTCACCTGGGTGGCTCAGTTGGTTAAACATCTGACTCTTGATTTTAGCTGAGGTCATGATTTCACAGTTTGGTTTGTAGGATGAGATCAAGCCCCATGTTGGGCTCTGTGCTGCCTGTTTGGGATTCTCTCTCTCTCTCTCTCTCTCTCTCTCTCTCTCTCTCTCTGCCCCTCCCCCACTCGTGCATGTGTGCATACTCTCTCAAAATAAAAAACATTTAAAAATAAATAAAAAATAAAGTGTTGTTGACTAAAGCATAATATGCTCAATAGCCAGTGGTTCGTAAAACATGGCTTGTGGGCTAATCTCTTATATCAGAACCACCTTAAAATTACAGATGCCTGGCGTCCACCCTAGG